AAAAGTTGAATGAGAATGAAATTGAAAAAGAAAATCATTTCATAAATTATCTCAAATAAAATATCTTATAAATTAAAAGGTTGAATAAAAATGAAATTGAAACAGAAAATCGTTTCATAAATTATCTCAAATAAAATAAATAATAATCAAAATAATAAATATCAAATCTAACAAATTAAAAAATTAAAATAATAATAATTATCATTTCATAAATTATTTCAAATAAAATAAGTAACAATCAAAATAAATGAGAACTAAATTTAATAGATAAAATTTTTTAATTAAAAATAATAAAAAATAAAAAATAATTATAAAAAATCAAAATCAAAATTAATATAAAAATTAAATAATAAGGGATGAAATTAATATATATATATATATATATCAAAATCAAAATCAAAATTAGTATAAAAAATAAATTATAAAGAATGAAATTAATATATATATATATATATATCAATAAAAAATTTGAGGACCAAATTTGATATAATCAGTAAATAATATGAAATTTTTAAATTTTTTATTACTTTCAGAAAGTGTTTTTCATTCAAAATAAAAAAAAATACTTTTATAAAAACCAATTAAAAAAAAATTAATTAATTTTTTTTTATTAATCAATTTTTTTAATAACATGAATATTTTTTTTAATTGAAAAGTATTTTTTATTATATTAATCAATTTTTTTAATAACAAACAAATATAAAAATAATTTCCAAAATCAGGTGATTTTTTCAGTTTACAAGTTACTTTTCTATATGAAAAAACTCCAGCATTTTTATGTTGTTTTCATTTTATCTGGATCACCAAATATCTACAGCCTCTTCTTAAATAGATAGCAAGTATTACTTTAGAACTAGATTATTTGCTCATGTTGCGTTGTCGATTGAATCGAGATTTAAAAAAATAAATGTTTTAGCATGTTTCAAGATAAAAAAATAATTATAATCTTAAAATATAACATATGCTGGATGTTATATTTTATAAACATTCATACCACAGCATGCTTATTAAAATGAATTTTAATTTTTAATTAATTTAATGTTGAAAATTAAATTAAAAAAAATAGTTAAAAAATAACAAAAAAAAACAACTCAAATTAACCTAAACAAGCTTATTAAATCCATGATCTAGGTTGCGAGATCAGGATAGTCTCATAAAAAATTGAAAAAATTACAGAGCTCTATTTCCAACAAACCTAGTGTTGAAGGTGAAAAAAAAATTCATATGATCTGAATAACTTCATATAAAGCAAATTGAAAAAACAAATTATAAAGTTTGGTTCCTAAAAAAACTAATATTGAAAAATGAGATTGAAAAAAAAACTGAAAAAAGAACAAGAAGAAGATCAAGTTATTGAAGGTTTAAATTGAAAAATAATATTCAATTAAAAATAGATAAAAAATGAACCAAGCCAAAAAGACGGAGTTGTTAGGGGAATTAATTAAAAAATTAATTAAAATGGATAAAAAAAATCAAATCAACTTACTAAACTCACATTTTAGATGATGGAATTGAGATAGTCTCGTATAAAGTAAAACTAAAAAATCATAAAGTTTAATTTTTAATTAATTTAATATTAAATAATAAAATAGAAAATAGAAAAAACAGCCTAAAAAACTTGAATCTATTTGGATTGACTTATTCAATTCATTACCTGGGTAGCATGATCAGGATAGAATTATAAAATGTAAACTAAAAAAAATACAAATGCTCATTTTCAAAATATTTAATGTTAAAGATTTAATTTTTTTTAAAAAAAAACTAAATTTATGATATTGGTATATAACCCATCATGAAGGAAATAATAAAAAAATTTTGCTAGGAACAATCATAAGGACAACATAACATTAATTAATAAAATTGAAAAAGAAAAAAGAAGAAAACGAAGTTGTCAAAGGGTTAAACAAAAAAATATATATTCATAAAATACTATTACAATAAATAGTATTTGTGGGTGTAACCATGATGATTTGGTGTGCGATTGATATTTTGGTAGGGGGTATGTTTTTAAAAGTATTTGTCAATTGATAAATATTTTTAAAATGCACACAAAACAAAAGGCTACTACACTTTCGAGTATTCACTTTACTACATCATTTAATGATTTGTTAGTTAATATTAACTCCCCAAGTGTTTCGCGCTTCGCCATAAGTTAGATCAAATTAGAAAGTGAGAAAAGAGAGCATGAATATTAATTCTCGATAAATAAAATGGTAAAAGACGAGATTAAAATTTTTTTTAATAAAAAACCTAAAAAGCATTTGAAGTCAACTCGTGTTAATATTTAAAATATCCCAGTCACAAGCTCGAAGTTAATCTATACAAGATAAACTCTAAAAAATAATAAAACAAAATTTTCAAACATAAAATAACAAGAGATGAAATTAAAATAAATAAAAAATAAAAGGGACTACATTTGACATGAAAATAAATTGAAATTAAATGTCAAAAAATAAAATTGAAAACAAGATTCAATTATGAAAAATGATAGATAGATGGATAAATAAATAACAATTAAAAAAATAAAAAATAAATTTGATATTAAAAATAAATCAAATCAAATTATTAGCAATGAAATTGAAAAAAAATAAGGATTAAATTGTAAATAAAATACAAACAAAAGTAAACTTTTGTATTTTACAAAGGATGAAAAAAAAGAAAATAAAACAAAGAAATTTTTTTTATTGAAGCCATATTATTGGCTTGCCACCAATATACATCATATTATCATATTATCAGAAAAATCTTGATACATTGCTTTTAATATAGATGTGAAGAGGGGTGTTTGAACACTAGAAAAGCTTACAATATTTAAAAGGATGGATTCTATTCACTCATCGACATATATTTTATATGTGTTAATTATTTTTTATTTTAAAATATATTTTATACATGTTAAAAGGTCTAATTGCTCGTAATTCTATTTGATAATTACAAAAAACTCCATTGAAAAACCCAAGTTTAGGAAAATAAAATTCAATAGGTATTTAAGTAATTGTATAGTGTAAAAAAGTAAAAAATCAAAAACACCCCTACCCACAATTAATTTTTTCTTGATGGAAGGATAAATTAATATTTTAAATTTGGAAGAAAAAAAATGAAGACATGGATTAGCCCTTATTTAAATTGTCAATTAATCCAAGTTTTTAACTTTCTTGGCTTTACACTTTAGCAATTCAATGTGTAGAGACTCTTATTCCACTATATTTCACCGACCACCCTTAATTTTTTTTTAATTATAATTTTATCGACAACAATTAAAAATCAACCAAAATGTTACTTTAGCAAAGTCAACCGTACATGAGAACTTTAGGGTTTGTTTAGTAACGGAGTTTTAGTCTAATTTTTTCAGGAAAAAGAAAAAAAGAAACACGGCAGCCGAAGTTTGTGTTCAAATGTTATATTTTTACAAATTAGATAAAAAAAATCTGATTATTTATTTATTTTTTCATAATATAGCTTTCAAATTTTTCCACCCATTCCTATTTATTTCTGGCATTTCAAAAAAAATTTTGAAAAAATTTAATTTTTTTATTTTTAAATTATTTTGATTTGTTGATATTAATAATAATTTTTAAAAAATAAAAAAATAATATTAACATATATTATAACATAAAAAATTATTTAAAAACAATCAAAACCGCAGACAAACCAAACTCTACAAAGGGCACAACATGCTTCTCCATCTTTTCTTCAAGTTGATGAATTTTTTTCTGACAAAAATGAACTTGCACTTTTTATTAAATAACAATTAAATCATGTATATAATTTTTACTCTTGTTTTGGCCCTATCTTTTATATATGTTGTTTTTCTCCTGCTCCATTCTCTATTCTCGCCACCCAGAATTCATCACCACCATGGCAATCAGCAGCAACAACGACTCCACCACCACTAGCAGTGCCTCCAGAAGCAGTAGCAGCGACTCCACTAGAAACAACAACCGGTAAGCTATTATATAGTATAATTAGATTTGATTCTGAACACACTTGTTTTGATTTCATATAATCTCTTCTGATTTCTTACCTGTCGCTAAATGTGGACACTAAACATATGCTTTAAGATGCTAGTCTTCTTTTTGTAAGTATTACGAAAACAAATTATATGCAATGAAATCTACATGTGCTGTTACGAAAACAAATAATATATATTCAAGATGAATTGTGATCAAATTCTTTATCTTATTTTATTATTTGGACTATGAAGTGAAATGGATTGGCTTTTTAGATGTTGAAACCTGATGGGATGGCATTGGATTATGGTTTTAAATACCAGTGAAGCTATCATAGAGTACGCCGTCATTTGGGAAGAAATGATGGGTCACCTAATATTGAAAGGCGTGGCTTCGAAGGGCTTAATTAGAGAAGAAAGCACTGGATAAGGATGAATGGTAATTGGAGAAAATGGATGACACTCTACTGCATAATCCTGGGTTCTAGTTAGCCTCAAAATTTTTGGCAGCTTATCTAGGGTATGCATTTCAAAACTTTATCAATGATGAGAATTGGGGTTTTAGGACATGATAATGTTCTTTAGGCCAACTCAATAATGGCATTTTTATGCTTGATGTCTTTCTCTTGCTGGGTTTTTATCGACTGCTCAATTGCATGTACAAGCTATCCTGTTAGCTATTGAACAGGTATTGTAAGAGCAGCTTATAATGATGTCTAGGCCTATGTTACTTGTGTTTAGTGTTAATGTTCTTAACTCGCTCCCAGTTTAAGTGGATAAAAAAATAAAATGTTCTTCAGGATAATTTGCAACCCCAACTAAATATAAACACAAGACATACCAGTATATACTGTGGGCTGCATCTCTATGATCTCTCGTTTTGCTTTACTTTGTGAAAAAACTGATCTATGTTATGGCTTCAAAATTACGTGGTGGTTTTTCTGTTTTCAAGAAAAATGAAAAAGGACGTGTTTTGATTTCGGCCATGACAGGGTTCACGACTTTGACTAGCTTTATATATATATATATATATATATATTTTTGTAATCTAATTTTGACCCTTTGATTTTTAAATTAATTTTTATAGAATTTAAAATGAAAAATTAAAAGATTAAAGATTTATTTTAATAAAAAATATGATTTGTTAATTTTTGTGAAAATTAAAAATTACAATGTATTTTTATTATTCTATTTTTATTTTTAAGATAATTTTTATTTTTAAGATAATTTTTATTTTGAGATAATTTTAATTTTTAAAATAATAATAGTTATTTGTTTTTAAATTTAATTTTTAATTAAATTTAAATTTAAAAAAAAAAATGAGTTTGATTGAGATTTAGTTTTTCTAATGTGAAGTCACTCTTACATTATAAATACACAGATGTCAAGAAGACATAATTCAACTATATATGCAAAACTTGGGATATCTTGAGAAGCTATATGCTCATCTACTATTATGGATTGTGATGTACATCCTAAGATGGGATTAATTTTTAAACAAGGATTTCTTTAGTATTATAAATTTATAAACTTGGGATCTTGAAAAGTTCTATCCACTCAATTGCATACCCGGCCCTATCATTTTTTTTCCTTTTTAAATAAAATTTAAGTTTAAAAATCAAACTATATCTCCCACTGTGAATAACAAAAAAATAAAAAAGAGTCTAAATTTTAAATTAATGTATAAAATAAAAAAAGTCACATATTATATTTAAAAATAAGATTATAACTTCAGAAGTATAGTTAGAAAAAATGGAAAGCTCCATGGCGTGGACAACACTCAGACAAATCAGTCGATCCTAGTCATGGAAAACAATTAATTTATATTTCCTGGCAGGAAATTGACTGAAACATCGGCCGCAAACATAATGACCTTGTGGTTACAATTATTACCAGAAACTTTTAAACATGTGGGGTTAACTATCATATATGTACTGTCTACGACAGTTAATTATGAATTTGTATAGTACGCTGTTTCCCTTCCATTCTATTGCTTTGTTCTAACTATGTTGCAAGAACACTGTGCGAAGGTAACTTAATTACCTTCGCACAACTCAAGGCACGCGTGAATTCACTTCACGCGTGCATTTTTC